TAGCATTATCATTTGTATTTATTTCTTTGTAAATACGCCTACATAATTTATAGATTTTGAATAAAATATTTTATATTTTGTATTATATGTATTGTTATAACTTATTTTGCATACTATGGATCCTTTTTTTTGCAGTAATTTATTTAAAGTTTTTGCTTTATATATTTTAGATAAAATAAAGAAATAAGAAACGACTAGTTCACTGTAAAAGTTTAGGCAACTCAAACCGTTTGAGGAAACCGATTGCAACAAACCCTTTAAGTTAAAAAATGAATCCCAATGAGTACTGTGAACTTAATCCATTTGAGTAAACAAAGCAATTTGAGCACAGTAAAAGCCAATAAATAAAGAGAACTCAAACTGTACAACTCAATAAGTTAAGGCAACTTAAACCGTTTGAGGATATCGATTGCCGATTTGAGTTAAACTAATCTATGAGTAATGTGAACTTACACCATTTAAGTTGAAGTAATGAGCTATTTAATTAACTCATTACCTTCAACAGTTCAACATTTTTTTTGAATGAGTAGAATTAACTTTCAGTCAATTTTAAGTTAACTACACTCATTTCATTTGATAAAGTTGACTGTTGGGTTTTACAGGTCTGATAAAAAATACAGTTTTATTTATTTCAGATCAGTTAACCTTTTATTTAATATTTATTCAATATAGGCCATTCATTTATTTTCTTTTACACCCTGCTACAGTGCAAGCAATTATATTATTTACAATGTAAACTGAGCTTACATTTGAATTTTTTATCCTCTTTTGTTTTCAAACGTGAAGCATCCCAGACCTTGAAAAACTGCATTAATGCCATATCTTTTTTTCCTGAATGAGAGGCGCTGTCGTTTTACTGACGTTTCTTTAAGCACATTATCAGGAGCGTTTGAGAGTGAAAAGAGAATAATTGATTTATGAGGAGTTTCCAAGACAACACAATGTTACCTTTCCTCTTGTGGTAATTACATTTGCTGTTGATGAGCCTGGAGGCAATAACGACCTTCATTAACAAAAGAATCCACGAATAGATGAGAAACAAAGATACAATAATTGTTTGTCTTCAGCTTAAGATATAAAGGACTGATGGAGGGAGCGGCATGGTGGCTCTGTGGTTAGCACTGCCACAGCAAAAAGGTCACTCGTTTAAATCCAGGCTGGGCCAGTTGGCGAAATAAGAGACTAAGCTGAAGGAAAACGCATGAATGAAAAAACGAGGTCTGATGGATCTGCATGTGTTAAACCATATGACAGGAAATCAGTGGCGTGAATTACGCCATTCAGAGACTATGCACAATAAACACTTCTTTAACACACACCTGACAATTTACAGATTTTGGGCTTTTCGTTAAGTGTTTTTTGTCTTAAGATTTCAATGACAATACATATTTTTAAGGAACATTTTCTCAAAATAAGTAGGTGAGAGCGGGGACGACAGTAAAGTGGGAAGGAAGTAACAAATCGATTTTTTCAAAGCTCTGACAACATTTGCTTTCCAGGCTATAACAGCACATTCAGCATGCAACCCTTGATGGAGCTGCCAAATATCAGCTCATTTCAGGAATCTGTCCCGCGATTAGGTCTGAATTTCAGTTTTTACTGTAAGTGCAGAAAGTAAGTTATTTTCTATAATTAAGTCTTCTCTCTTTATGCGTCACAGTAATGATTATTCGACAGGTTATTTAGTGCAGTAACACATCCTTAAGCAATCTCTGAGTTTTTCAGGTTTAAATGGCAAGAGTTCCTGTACGGACGAACGTAACACTGTTTTTTATGTCCCACTGCTACCTTATTTTTCACTTCCACATTAGAGTTTTCAGTGTTTTGATTAATATGTTTATAAGATTAATGCATATTGCCAATGATAATAAAAAATAGTCAAAATTTGTGACATGTTGCATTGATTGATTGCTTCTGAAACATTTGATGAAAGGGAAATTTAAAATAAAAATGCAGTTTACACTATTATTTTGTAAAAATAAAGGACAAAATATGCTTGCAGTAAACATTAACAAGGTCATAGTCAGATATGTTTCAAATAAACAAGATTAAGCCTGTGAATCTAGCAAATATTGTTGTGTTACTTTTGTCTCTACCGATGGGGTCAGTAACATTGTGCGTAACAATGGAATAATGTGCAATTTATGCTTAGTCAAATTATTTTGAAGTTGATTCATTCGTTTTCCTTCAGCTTTGACTTCATTCCACTGTGGCAACCTCTGAAACAAACCACTAACTATTCTAACATATGTTTTACACAGCGACTGCCCTTCCAGCCACAACCCAGTACTGGGACACACCCATACACTTTCATTCGCGTCAATTTACTTTATCCAGTTCACCAATAGCGCATGTCTTTGGACTATGGGGGAAACCGGAGTACCTGGAGGAAACCCATACCAACATGGGGAGAACATGCAAACTCCATACAGAAAAGGCAACTGGCCCAGCCAGGACTTACAACAGCAACCTTCTTGCTGTGAGGCGAAAGTGCTTACCACTGAGACATCCACCATAAGCCAACTCTTTAAAGTGTTTTCTTTTGTCCTACTCTTTTTAAAGGCTCTTCTCCCATTGAGTCTTACATCTCCACTTCAGCAGGCCTTAAATACACCAAACTGTGAAATTTCATTTATGTCTTCATAATAGTTTTTTCATTAAAAAAAAAAAAAATATATATATATATATATACATATATATATATATATATATTTTTTTTTTTTTTAGAAAAATGAAAAAACTATTATGAAGATATAAATGAAATTTCACAGTTTGGTGTATTTAAGGCCTATATATATATATATAAAGATTTTAGTTTTTTTTTTTTTGATCCTGACTTCATACACTTTTCAGATTAGTGTGCTAGAAATAAGACCATATTTAATTCATTAATGCATTATTTGCATATTTAGACATGACATTTCAAAAACTTGCAATACAAAAAAGTTTCCACTTCAATATAATCAATCAACTGTGGAAGTATGATGATAAATATTATTATTTCATGTTTTTATTCTATTCATAACTATTATATCAACTTTGTGTAATAATGTACTGAAGTTTTTATTTATTAGTTCTCTCATGTGAGTTGGGTTATATATAAAAAAGTAAGTAAATAAATAAATAAGCTTATGTGGTTCATATTTATACAGTGCATCCGGAAAGTATTCATAGTGCTTTACTTTTTCCATTTGTCTTTATGTTACAGCCTTATTCCAAAATGGATTAAATTAATTTATTTCCTTAAAATTCTACAAACAAAACCCCATAATGACAATGTGAAAAATGATTTTATGAAATTGTTGCAAATTTATTCAAAATAAAAAAGCTGAAAAATTACATGTACAGAAGCATTAACAGCCTTTGCTTAATACTTTGTTGATGCACCTTTGGCCGCAATTACATCCTCAAGTCTGTTGAATATGATGCCAAAAGCTTGGCACACCTGTCTTTGGGAATTTTTGCCCATTCCTCTTTGCAGTACCTCTCAATCTCTATCAGGTTGGATGGGTAGTGACGGTGTTCAGCCATTTTCAGATCTCTCCAGAGATGTTCAATAGGATTTAGGTCTGGGCTCTGACTGGGCCATTCAGTGGCATTCAAAGAGTTGTTGTGGAGCCACTACATTGATATTTTGGCAGCGTGCTTTGGGTCATTATCCTGCTGCACTTATCTTTCCCTCTATCCTGACTAGTCTTTTAGTTCCTGCAGTCGAAAAAACATCCCCACAGCATGATGCTGCCATGCTTCACTGTAAGAATGGTATTAGCCTGGGTATGAGTGGTGCCTGGTTTTCTCCAAACATAACGCCATTAGCCATTAGTTAAATTTTATTCTCATCTGACCAAAGAATTTTGTTTCTTATGGTCTGAGAGTCCTTCATATTCCTTTTGGCAAATTTCAGGCGGGGAGTGGCTTCCGTCTGGCCACTCAACCATACAGGTCTGATTGGTGGATTGCTGCACAGATGGTTGTTCTTCTGTAAGGTTCTCCTCTCTCCACAGAAGAATGCTGGAGCTCAGACAGAGTGAACATCGGTTTATTGATTACCTCCCTGACTAAGGACCTTCTCCCCAGATCACTCAGCTTAGATGGCCAGCCAGCTATAATAAGAGTTCTGGTGGTTAAACATCTTCCACTTACGGATGATGGAGGCCGCTGTGCTCAGTGGAACTTTTAGAGCAGCAGAAACTTTTCTGTAACCTTCCCCAGCCTTGTGCCTCGAGACAATCCTGTCTCTGAGATCTACAGACAATTCCTTTGTCTTCATGCTTGGTTTGTGCTTTGACATGCACTGTCAACCCTGGGACCTTAGACAGGTGTATGCCTTTTCAAATAATGTCCAATCAACTGAATTGACCACAGGTGAACTCCAATTAAGCTGCTGAAACATCTCAAGAATGATCAGTGGACACAGAATGTACCTGAGCTCAATTTAGAGCTTCACGCCAAAGGCTGTGAATACTGATGTACATGTGATTTTTCAGGTTTTTATTTTTAATAAATTTGCAACCATTTCAAAAACTCTTTTTTCACATTGTCATTATGGGGTATGGTGTGTAGAATTTTGAGGAAATAAATGAATAAATATATGATATAACAAAAGTTTATTGATTTATTTGACTCTTTATTTGGGTTTTTTCTGCTGCTAGAAGATCATAATTTCTATATATATTTATTATTATTTTTTACGTATATCTGCATTACATCTGCTGTGATGTTTTAAATGACAAATTAAAGGAAACTTGTAATTAAAACCTGCAGTGTCTTGTATTAACTTCCAGCATTAGTTCACAGTGTCTGAAACAGCATGAAAACACACAGCAGCAGTGGATCCATCATTCACCCGAGTCTTCCAGTGTCAGACAAGATGAGCGGCCATTCTAAAAGCTTTGTTTCTGATCAGTAATTTTACCCCGTTGCATCAGAGCCACCTGATCATCTCCAGCCTGGAGGGTTTGCCAGACACCTGTGAGTATATAAGAAGCAGAGCTCATTCAGAAAACAGCGGAGAAGCACAGACACACACACACACACACACAGCGCAGAACAACTCACACTCATTCAACAAAGGTAAGAGTCATTCTTCTCATATTAAGTCATATTAACAGCTGATTCCCTGAACACATATTGCCGCATTTGCTTGTAAAGTATATGAATTATATTTATTTATTCTTTTTTTTACGGCTTTTAAAATGAGCTCTTTTTTAAAGCTATGTGACTTAAAGTGAATTAAATAGTGGAGTTTTCTAAATATCCTCATTAAATTTAATTAAAATTTCATCTTAAGAAAAGATTTAAAACCTCTAGTAACAAAGCTTTAGATCATGACAGATAATGAATAATAAATGCATCTTATTTATTCATTAGAAAAAAAACTGTAAGGTTTACTGTTGTATTGTATGTAAACTTTCTTTTCCTTAAATTAAGTAATACCAATATTGGTTTATTATTTTATTTTATTAAACTGTAATTTTATACAACCATGTATTTACATTCAAAAGTTTGGATATTTTATGTAATAATTCTTATTAATATAACTATAATTAATAATTTACATTTGTTTTATTATTATTATTATTATTATCAAGTATGTCTTTTCCAAATAAAGTATACTTTTGTACACGTTTTAATATAGATAATAAATATAATAATATTTTATTAACTTTAACATTACTAGTATAAACAATGAACTGTTTATAACTGAGAGTGTGTGTTGGTGTAATTTATATATAATAGGACTTTATATTTGGTATTAATTCTTATATATATATATATATATATATATATATATATATATATATATATATATATATATATATGAGCAATATGACATGAGTAGCAGTGCGATGTGGCTGTTTTTCGGCACTGGTGGGAGGCGTGCGTTGGCACCAGTGATACAGCCACATTGCACTGCTACTTGTACCATATTGCGTTTATACAACAGTGTGACGGCATAATTGTGTGTTTAAAATAGTATATCAAACACGGAGATAGTCAAAATCCTTTCGTGATAGGAACTACTTTCTTCTGCCATTCATTCACATCTGCAGCTGATGTCATGAGAAACCATTGTTACCTAACAAATGTAACTTTTGACCTATTTTTGAATGATTCACTGACTAATTTTTGCTCACACTTTAAAATTATAAGGCTGAATGTCATGACATGCATTCAATCTGCAGAGATTTCTCAGTATTTTTGTTGTAATAGGGGAGATCACAATACTTAACCCCAAAAAAGCCAAAGTAAAGCAAACACTACCAGTTTCGATGGCATAAATACAGCACTACAACAGACAAAAGCCAGAGATAGAATTAGAATGTCGCTTAACTGTTTTATAATGATTTGCTCAGCTACAGTTTGAAACAAACGCTGAGAAAATGCTGTTTTTCTTACCTAAGAACTTATTATGCGGTCTCTGTCGCCATCTTGTGGCGGAATGTCAACCGTCACTTTCTTTGGTCTGCTGAGACATTATGATGGCGGCCGATGCACTGAATCCGATGCTCAGAAATTATAAATATTTAAAAATAGCCACTATCCTTATAATAGACTGCATAGTTGCAATCTGAACAACTACATTCTCGATTAAGAACGCCTCAAAAATACCTTATGTAGCCCAACAGCTGCAATATTTGTCCTACTGTACAGTATCCTCTGCTTGTCATTGTGTGTGGGTGAAGTAATACACAAGGGTGAAGAGGCGGTACGAGTGCTGTTATTTGCAGAATATCACATGGCTATCAGCCAATCAGATTCAAGAACCAGACAAAACTGTTGTTTAAACAGTTTCTATATATATATATATTTTTTTTTTAAATTTATTTATTACATGAAACAAATATATTTTTTATTTTTTTTTTATTTTTTTACATATTTATAAGTACGTTAATGCATGCTCCTAAAAAGTTTTATAGATTTATTTATGGGAAATTCAAAAATATATGTATTATTAAATTCGAAAATATTTAATGTATTTTTATACAAATTTAAAAATATAGATAATGAATATAATAATTATAACAATTTCTGAACATTAACATATGATATATACACAGAAACATTAAACTTTTCATAAATTAATTATGAATAGTTGAAGTCAGAATTATTAGCCTCCCTGTTCATATTTCTAAACATAATGATTTTAATAAACTAAATTATTATTTAATTAACTTATTTCTAATAACTGATTTATTTTATCTTTGTAATGATGACAGCACATAATATATGACTAGATATTTTTTTTAAATAATACTAGTATATTCAGCTTAAAGTGACATTTAAAGGCTTAACTAGGTTAATTAGGCAGGTTAGGGTAATTAGGCAAATCATTGTATAATGATGGTTTGTTGTGTAGACTATCTAAAGAAAATATTGCCTGAGTGGGATAATAATTTAGACCTTTTAATGGTTTTAGGGAATTAAAAAAATGCTCTTCTTTTAGCTGAAATAAAACAAGGGGCGAGGCAGTGGCGCAGTAGGTAGTGCTGTCGCCTCACAGCAAGTAGGTCACTGGTTCGAACCTCGGCTCAGTTGGCGTTTCTGTGTGGAGTTTGCATGTTCTCCCTGCCTTCGGGTGGGTTTCCTCCGGGTGCTCCAGTTTTCCCCACTGTCCAAAGACACGCAGTACAGGTGAATTGGGTAGGCTAAATTGTCCTTAGTGTATGAGTGTGTGTGTGAATGTGTGTGTGGATGTTTCCCAGAGATGGGTTGCGGCTGGAAGGGCATCCGCTGCGTAAAAACTTGCTGGATAAGTTGGCGGTTCATTCTGCTGTGGTAACCCCGGATTAATAAAGGGACTAAGCCGACAAGAAAATGAATGAATGAATAAATAAAATAATTAAGACCTTTTCCAGAAGAAAAAATATTAGCAGAAAGAAACATGCTGAAGTATTGTAATTGTAATTTCTGAAGGGGGGTGGGGAGAAATCAAAAGAAGATGCTAAAGTGGACGCGATGCAAAACCAGAGTGACTCATCAAACAACATCACCAACACAAAACCTCACTTTCAATAACTGCATCCACTCTAATTTATAAAGAATATTCATAGAGCCTACCCTCCCCTGTCAACTGCGTAACACATACCAGGATCTTCAGAGGCTTTAAACTGAATTTTGATCAGATCTGACTCATCATTCAGTCTGATAAACGATACTTCTGTATTTTCATGGTCAATCTCAGTAATGAGCATCTAAACCTGCAGGACTAGAGAAGCTGTTTAGTGAAGAGCGTTCATTTCAGTGCACGTCTTTCATCCCTCATACAAAACTGCTGCTGTCGTCACACTGTGATATTAATGGAGCACTTCTTTCTTCACAGACCTGTGTATATGTGTGTGTGTGTGTGTGTGTGTGTGTATTAGGATGTCATCAGAAAAAAAAAGAGTTAATCATTTGAACAACAGGTAAAATCAATACCTGTTTTATCAGTAGATAAAAGTTAATAAGTTCATTTAAAAACCAACTAATAACAGTCACACTGTACAAGAAGCTTCATTAGTAAATGATAGTATTTACAAACATGAACTAATTATAAACAATACTTGTAGAGCATTTATCCCATTCAAACGCCTTCCTGTGTTTTTACCCACGAGGGGAGTGTGCAGGAATCCGACCGGCGCCTCCATGGCTGCAGGAATAGTTGCCTGCCCTCACTCATCGGATTGTATGCCCTGTTCCCATCCCCTGTGTCAATGTTGTGTCTTGCCGGTGTGCTCTTGCTAGTGGGCTGTTTTTTTTTTCTTTCTCCCTGTTCTCACTTTGCTCTATTTAAGAGCAAGGTTAGAGGTTTTTTTAGCCTAACTCTCCAGATGTATCTTACTTCTAAATGCTATCTCCTGTGACCCATCATCCCCTGAAAATTGTGATGTTTGTGTATGGTCGGGGGGGGTTCAATTTCACTATACGAAAGTGTATGTGACAAATAAAGGCCTGATTTGATTCGATTTAATCATAATTTGGTAATTACTAATGCATTATTAAAACCCAAATTCATGCTTGTTAACATTAATGCACCATGAGTTAACATGAACTAACCAACAACTGAATTTGACATGAACAAATACTGTAGTGAATAAGTTTTTTCATGTTAGCAAATGCATTAACTAGCACAACCATATTGTTAAGTGTTAGCCAAAAAAAAAAAACAAAAAAAAAAAACACATTCATGCATATATACACTTACCGGCACTTTATTAGGTACACCTTACTAATACCGGGTTGGACCCTCTTTTGCATTCAGAACTGCCAGGCACGTGTACACATAGGGCTCAACCTGTGCAGTACACATGCCCTTTTTAGTCTTGGATAAAAGACTAGGATACTGGAAATATTCCTCATAGATATTGGTCCATATTGACATGATAGCATCACGCAGTTGCTGCAGAATTATCGGCTGCACAGGGTAGAGTTAGGACGATTCTAAGGGCCCATACATTTAGGGGTTAGGGTTAGGGTTAGACATTATCAAGGGCCTGGCGCAACCGACCAACATCCCCACCCTCCCCCTATTCCCTTTCATCCGCGATCATCGTAAACTAACCCCTACCGAGGGCCCGTGGTTGCCACCGGCGCCCCTGATGGCAGGGATCACCAAACTTGTTCCTGGAGGTCCAGTGTCCTGCAGATTTTAGCTCCATCCCTAATCAAACACACCTGAACAAGCTAATCAAGATCTTACTGGGTATACCCGAACAACCCAGGCGGGTGTGTTGAGGCAAGTTGGAGCTAAACCGTGCAGGACACCGGACCTCCAGAACTGAGACTGGTGACCCCTGCTGTATAGTATAGTTAATGCCACACTGACTGTAAAGTATTTTACATTAGTAGTTCATTTTGAAATAAAACTAGCAAAATGTTCGTTAAGAGTTACATTTTTCGCTGGAGGAAACAGCTGTGCTGATGAGGTGAACTCAGAGAAAACCCGACTGCTCCTCCGTGACATTGAGATACAGGTAATACAAGATTATCTATATCAAAGGACTGCATATAAACAGTTATTATAGCAGTTTATTGATAAACACACCTCGTTGTACTCTTGCTGTCCACGGCTGATCAAATAAAAAACAAATACGTGGAGGAGCCGAATTCTGCAGCCATTTTCATATCAAATTTAAAGGGGACTGAGGCAATAATTAAGTGTACAGTTTATGAGCTAATCACAAAAGTTTTTGTGGGGCTGATTAGAAGCCCCCCTAAAATAGGCCTAGCAACGCCCATGCTCTCACCATTAGTTTGCTACGAGAAAATGATGCACAAAAAAGCCCTGCCCCCTACTCAATATTCGGTTTCAGTTTTTTAAGTACATCAACATACTGACAATAAATATCTCAGTGACTTCCGGTTCACACAAACTTTGCTCAACACTTGCAGTTCTTACAGTAATCATTTAACTGAGCATGTATTAAAATAAATATATTTCTTACCCTGATCACCTGCAGTGTCTCCTACAGTCAGGTTCAACCTAAAGCTCAGTTTCTCCTGCCCACACGTCATCATTGTGCCAGACATGATGACGAGAACATGCGACTCATTCAGCACAATCAAATCAAAGGCCATTCAAGTCAGACGCCCTGATAATGAAACTCGTCCTTGACGTTATATATGTGATCTCAGTATGAGCTCTTTGGCTTGTGTTCCCATTGTGAGTCATGCCAATGATACCTGAAGCATGGAGTTAGTGATGAGGTCTTTTCTTGTCTGACGTGTTTTTTTTCCCAGATGTTCTGTCCGTCTTGGCTTTTGGCTGCAGCGGTCTTGTGTTTTCACAGCCCACATGTAGACGGTGGCAGATGCTCGGGTTTGATAGACTGCATGGACCTTGAATCCAATGAGCACAAATTGGTAAGATGCATTTAAGGGAATGAATAACCAAATTTCAACACAGAATGATATACATAATATAGGTAACAATATCCACTAATATAGGTGGATTTTATTGATGGATTAGTTAATGTTGAACTATGAATAATAAATGCTTTAAAAAACATTATTCGTACTTACAGATACAAGGTGCGGCGGTAAATTACTGAATGACAGCTTCTAAAATTGTCCAAGAGGCATCCCCTTTTTGCCCAGTAGGCCTACCTTGTGTTTTATTTGCTAATTTAAGCTATTTTAAAAGATAAATATAATGCATAAAACTACACATTATTTATAATACTTCATTATGCTTATACGTCTGATAAGCTTTTATATTAATGGACAATGCACAGATATTCACAATGTTTTTACACTACATTATTTAGGTTAGGTTAAACTCTATTTGTCCCCGAGAGGAAATTTGTCTTGGGCAAAAAAGGTGCTACAACATTGTCTAAACAGACAGTAAAAATAAATAAAACAAAACAATTAAGAACAAACAGTTAAGAACATACATTGTTTACAGAATAAGACCGTATATAAGTATAAATATATAAAACACAGAACCCAGGTTTGAATCTACCAAGCTTAGATTACAATGTTTGCCATGTTTACATTGCTATACTTACGATAAATCTACATGCCAAAATATCAGAAATGACAACAGAGTGTTAAGATGTATTTAATGTCAGTTTTAATGTTATTTATTAAAGCAATTACTTGACAGATTTCATTCATTCATTCATTTTCCTTCGGCTTTTCCCCTGGTTTATCACAGTGGAATGAACCGCCACTTGACAGATTTCTGTATTTTAAATTTTAGGGGGTTTGTGTACTGTGTTTTATGTTTGGTAAAATCATTTCTAATTGCATCTTTAGTGATTTTTAACCAACTAGTCTTGTCTCAACGGGTGGATTTAGAGGTTTTTTGCAAAAAAGCAGACGTGGAGTTAGCTGGTTTTGACGTAAAAGAAAATCTACCTTGTAAAAAACAAGAGAATTGTCTAAAGTGACATTTTTGAAAAGAAGTTATTTTATTTACTAGATAATATCCTTATCATTTCATATAAAATTAAACCTCTAAACCTAATTATAGGAGCCTGATAGAAAATGCTGATTTACAAGAAAAGAGGCCTGATGGATATAGAGGGTTTTGCATCTGAACTCTTCATATATAGATGACCACCTTAATCAATTATAGACAAGAATGTACTGCCTACTAATTTCTTACGGGCCTCATAAGGAAACCTAATTTTGCCCAAAGCTTTTTCAATAACTTATTTTTGTGTACTGTATATCGCAGGCTTATCTCACGTCAATCCAAATACCTAGATATTAATAAGAGCTAACTGTTTCTATTGGTACACCATTTAAAGATGTAATTGTCTTTTTTGAATCTAAAACCAATTTTAAATCCTGCAACATGCACTGTAGTACCAGAAAAGAATTCTGAAAATACTGTACAGCTTGGTTTAAGAAGTGTGTAGCTGTATATATTACAGTATCATCTGCATACAGGTGTATTTTAGCGGAGTCTATTCGATGACCTAAATCGTTAATGTAGATAGAACAGCACTTTGGATATTTCACAAGATATAAAGAGACCTTTTTATCAATGGAAAAATTTTTCATGAAACCATTGATGATAAAAACTCACCCTCATGTTATTCCAAACCCCGGAGATGTTTGTTCATCTTCTGAAAACAAGATATTTAGGATGAAATCAGAGTGCTCCTTCATCCTCCATAGACAGCGAGGGTCCTGACAAGTCCAGAAAAGGAATTAGAAACATTGCTAAAACAGTCATGTCACTTCAGTGGTTCAACTGTAATCACACGAAGCTCCAAGAACACTTTTAAGCACCCAAAAAAACTGTTAAATTACTGTTTGCCAATGTCTTGTTGAGCTGCTTACTTTAATGACAATACGTTGTACTGCCCGTAGTTAAAAAATACAAATAAATCACAAAATCCCCCTTGACCTGTTTTACAACCTGGGTGTTTTTGGATCTTCATTTGACAAGGTTTTTTAAATCATTTTCCGGACTTTAAGCATCTCAAAACAAAACCCAGGCTCATTGCGGATACGTACCCATGTCTACATTTCTGAGGACAGTGAAATGCTTAACCGGAGGTACGTCTCCTTGCAGTTTTTGTTTTTGCAAATCCACCAGAGGCCGCTGTCTATGCTTTTTGATAATCTCAAATTTCTCTCGTGCATCCTCTTCTTGCGTAAATTCACCAGAGGGCGCAATATATACTTCAGTCGACTAGGCCGGCTTGCTGTCAACTGACCCACCCACCCCTATCCATAAACCCAACCGATAGTGTTTTCAAAAGCAATCTAGATCAAGAAAATCTGCTTCGGCTGTGTGATATCACCACACTTTAGCCTGTCGTTTATTTATTTGCTTTTGTTTTACCTGATTTCTGGAAACATTCTTTGCCAGACTCGACCCCTATCGTCCCCGTCAACTCAGCTTTGCGTCCCAAGTCCGCTAACATACACGCTGAGCTACTGTTTCAATTGGATGACTGTTTCAATTGGATGTATGTCACAATATTGGACAAAAGGACAATCTAAATTCCATTAAATGGTGACTTTTAAGGGGACATTTCATGCAAAAATCTATTTTATAAGGGGTTTAAACACAGTTGTGTGGAAATAATGGAAGAATATAACCAGATTATAATGGTAGAAAAATTAATTAATTACATTTTTTTAGAATCACACTCGATAAAAACAGTCACTTTGATTGACATTCTCTTTTTGCAGATGTTATGCGAGGACGAAAGCCCCGCCCACAAGTGACAATCTCTCCCTAATTAGCATAGACAGCCCCGAGTAAGAACCAAGAAGCGTCCATCATTAGTTTTTAATTGGCCACTATGCTGATACACAGGCGTTTATAGCTCCACCTCCTTGTGAAAAGAGTGCCCAATCTCATTTGAATTTAAAGCGACAGTCATTATAATTTGACTCCAAATCCAAATGGGATATTTTCAAAGAATTATAAACATTATTTCTGTGTTATTTTGAGCTGAAATGTCACATACACACTCTAGGGACGTCAAAGACTTATTTTAAAACTTGTATAAAGGGGCATAATAGGACCCCTTTAACTCTTGCTCTCTATCCTGACTCCACAGCAGTGTCTCAGAAAGTGCAGATCGGACCAAGAATCTTCCAGAAACATCAGAGTTTCTTCATCTGAACATCAGAGCAGTGAAGAACAGGTAGAGGAGCAGAGTCTGAGCTTGGGTTTGCTTTTATCAGCTCTGTCTCCCGACTCCATCGAGCTCCAAAACCCCACGGCAGAAGCTCCTCACGGGGACGAGAGGCGGTCATACTCCATGGAGCACTTCAGATGGGGCAAACCCATGGGCCGCAAACGCAGACCGGTAAAAGTGTTGAGCAACGGGGCTCTGGAAGAAGAGCCGGAGGAGTCGGAGGAGAGCGTCCGTGTGGAACGAGGACAGAGCGGCACCCTGGAGGTTCAACACAGGAACAACGTCAAAAACAACGGGAAGTATCGCATGACCCACTTCCGCTGGAATGCACCACCAGACAAACGATACGGAGGACTCATGAGGCCGTATTTAGACGAATCCCACAAACCCCTGATCACACTCATACGAAACGCCATCGGCAATGGACAGCAGTTCACAGATTAAGCTAAAGGAGGAGAGAATTGACGTAATGTTAACATTTTTGGTCCCACTTTAAATTAAGTGACCTTAACTAATATACTTACATTGAAATTAGTAATGCGTTACACTTTAATTCACCCTTAAAAATACCCAAACCACCAAACCTGTCCCTAACCCTACCCGTATCCCACCTCAGGAGCACAAGAAGTGTTCTGCAATACATTATGAACACGTTAAGTACATTTTATTTATTTTTTGATGTAAGTACATAGAAGTTAAGGCCACTTAATATAAAGTAAGACCAAATTTTTAATTAACTAAATTCTTAATTTAAAAAAAAAACTTTGTTGGAATCAAATTGACAGGTCATGAAACCTGAATGTCCTATAAATACAATACAATACAATTAAAGAAAACAAACACTGGCTATGAACACTCATTAACTGATATATACGGTTGCTTGAGATTCACAGTACTGCTGTATTGATCACCTCTGGGATTTAAATTAAGAGGATTTTCAGATATACTGGCTATTTGTCTATCCGAGTTAGTTTTACTGTAATATACTGTACATGAAATGCATTAAAATGGATTTGCAATGTCTTCAGCTGTGGATTTGTGTGTTTGGATGCAGATTTGACATTTTAATACATGCTTCGTTAGACAGACAGCTATGGTATCAAAACACAGAACAATTCATTGTCTGCATTTTTCCTTCCAGCTTTCAAGAGGAAAGCCTCAGATGGATGCAGATTCAACAACTTGACTTTAACCACTTGGCAGTTTGTCTGAAACTGATTAATCCTGAAAATGTTTAGGGTTTTTTTCATCAACATTTTTCAAATCTTCTTTTGTCCATGGCTGTGCGTGAAAATCCCAGTAGATCAGCGGTTTCTGAAATACTCAGACCAGCCTGTCTGGCATCAACAATCATGTCACGTTCAAAGTCACTTAAATCACCTTTCTTTCCCATTCTGATGCTCGGTTTAAACTGCAGCAGATCGACTTGGCCATGTCTACATGCCTAAATGCATTGAGTTCCATGTGATTGGCTGATTAGAAATTTGCATTAACCAGCAGTTGGATAGGTGTACCTAAAAAAGTGGCCGGCGAACGTATGTCTTAAAATAAGAGTGCAAAACGCTCCAGTGTGCATGTATCTGTGTTTGCACTTGGTGAACTGCGATGAAGAGTGGTAACCCAAATGACCTACATGGCCAATCATGCGAACACAATGTCTAATCAGCAGTGTTTAAAAAAACAGTGCTTAAATGTAAGCAGAAAATGGGACGTTTTAAATATTTCAAGTTTTCCAATTGATCGATACTTTGACTACCCTGCGTGACAGGAACTATTTGACTCATACACTACATGGTTGAGTGTAAATGTGCCAAACTGTTTAATGTATAGTACTTGGAATGCCAGCAGCTAGCTCTCTGCAGCTCTCACATGGTCGCCCACTGAAGCCAAGCAGGGCTTCGCCCGCTCAGTACCTGGATTGGAGACCACATGGGAAAGCTAGGTTGCTTCTGAAAGTGATGTTAGTGACAAAAGCACTCAACCTGCGGTTTGTGTGAGTACTAATGCCCCAGTATTTTGATGGGGACTCTACACTGCTCAATGAGCACCGTCATTCAGATGAGACTCTCTGTGGTCGTGAAAAGTCCCAGGATGTCCTTATAAACATATAAAATAGTAGGTTTAAAACAAATTTGCCCACTGGCCTCTGTCCATCATGGCCTCCTAACAACCCCATATCATAATTGGCTTCATCACTCTTTCTCCTCTCCACCAATCAGCTGGTGTGTGGTCTGGTGCAATAGCTGCTGTCGCATCATCCAGGTGGATGCTGCACACTGGTGATGGATGAGAAGATTCCCCCCAAAAAAATGTGTGAAGCACTCTGAGTGTTTAGAAAAACTGCTCAGATTAAAGGAATTATTATTATTATTAGTGTCTCTGCAACATGGCAACAATAACATAGCTCATGGAAGCTTTGTCTTTTTCTTTACAAATGCTTTTTGGCGGTGTTCTGTTAATATTTCCACTAGTTAGTAAAATAGGATTGGATTGATGTATTTTAGGCATGTCAGGATCAGTGTAGGATGGCATAAATGTTGTTTGTTAGACTTTGAGAACCATCTGTGCAAATGACCAACAACAAATTGTATCAAAAATGATTTATTGTCAACTTTTTGCCATTTTAAACCACATACAAACCATGTGGAAATCTTTTATCCAGACAAAACATAATACGTAGAAAAATTTGTTAATGCTACATGACATACAGTAACAGAGCACTGCGTTTCAAGACTCGTTCAGTAATTCTGACCAGAAATGAACATCCTCACAACCATGAAATCCATTACTAAAACTACAACGCTGAAGAAATGTAAGATGCATTTACAGAACTATAAACTCTGATTAATTTGAAGGAACTACTTTTTGATTACAGCAGTGTTCAGGGGTAAAGACTATTGACTGTCCATATGTGTGTATTTTTGGTTATTTATGAATTTGTGTCATCAGTTTTAACACAGCCTCACGTTATCAGCTATCAAAAGCTAAATTTAACACTAAAACCTACTTCATGCCGCCAACTAAGGATGAGATAAATATTATGTTGAGAGAATCTTCTAGAAGAGCACAGCAGTTCATGGCACTGTAAAAATACACAGACATACAAAAACTGTTCGCGCACACACAACAGGACTATATGCACAGCATCTAAATGTCTGAAAGATGAATCAATGAAATGCATCACCTCGATATTTAGAAGAAAACATGAGCAAAATAGAAAATTTTAAATCTACAGGGTTTAATTCGTTATGTCAAATAATAATAATAACATAGTCTTATTTATTCTCAAATAAAAGTGAATATGGGTCAAAGACGAGACATAAAAGTTTGGTTTCTGCATCAAATTATATCTATGAAAGTGATTTTATATACATAGAAATGAAATTAAAAAGTGACAATTTAAATTTAAATAACTTCTGTGGAAATGTCAAAATAGTGTTGTGTTGTCATTTAGAGTAACAGATGTATTTATATAAAAAAGAAACAAAAATCTGACCTGTACTTATTAAAATTAAGGAATAGGTGATAATCGCAAGTTTAACTATATGCAAATAATTAAAAAAAATACACACACACACATACATACGATATATATACATACAATATACATATACATACAAAATATATATACATACAATATATATATATATATATACATATATATATATATATATACATATACATATATATATATATATATATATATATATATATATATATATATATATATACACACACACACACACACACATACATACAGTTGAATTCAGAATTATCAGCCCCTGTGAATTATTAGCCCCCGTTTATTTTTTTCATAATTTCTATTTAACGGAGAGAACATTGTTTCAACACATTTCTAATCATCATAGTTTTAATTACTCAATTTTTTATACCCGATTTATTTTATCTTTTTCATGGTGACAGTAAATAATATTTGACTATATATTTTTAAGACACTTCTATACAGATTAAAGTGACATTAAAAGGCTTAACTAGGTTAACTATGCAGGTTAGGGTAATTAGTGAAGTCATTGTATAATGATGGTTTGTTCTGTAGCGTATCGAAAAATATAAAGCTTAAATAGGCTAATAATTTTGACCTTAAAATGGTTTTTAGGACTTTCTCCAGAAGAAAAAAATATTATCAGACATACTGTGAAAATTTCATTGCTCTGTTAAACATAATTTGGGAAATATTTAATAAAGAAAAAAAATCAAAGGGGGGCTAATATTTCTGACTTCAACTGTATACTCTATATAGTTTAATACAGTGGCAAAGTATACAGATTTTAAAGAACAATTGATGAGCATTTGGGGCTGCACTGGCATCTTTAAATAGTGTTTTAATATGACATCAAAATATTCTTGTATTGAGCTGTAAAAGTTAGACAGAATGAGTCTTCAATCTGTTTTTTTCCCTGTAAAATGCAAGATTGGCATGAAAGCAAATTATTACGCCACTAAGAAATGACAAAAACCCGAACAACAAAACAAAAATTAACTAATTTAATAGCCTGGGTCAAATGAAAGATCTACATTTTGCCAAGAAAATAAATAAATACGTAAATAAACAAGACATTTAAATATGAAAAAAAATAAAATAAAAATGTAAAAGCTTCGAATTTTGCCTAGAAAATAAAACAAATTTAACAGCTTCAGTCAAATGTATGATCTAAAAATAAATTAATCTGTAAATAAAAAAAGCCACTAAGAAAACCCCAAACAAATAAACAAACAAACAAACAAAAAAACTAATTTAAATGCTTCTGTAAAATGCATGATCAGCATTTTGCTTAGGAAAAAAAAAACTAAAACAAACAAATTTAAAAGCTTCGGTCAAATGTATGTTCAGCATTTTACCCAGAAAATAAATAAATATGTAAATAAACAACTAACAACTAAAACAAATAAAAAAAAAACGAATCAAAAACAAACTAAATCTAAAAGCTATAATACACTTTTATTTTTTGATGTATAAAAATCTCTAAAAAAGCTTAACTGCATAAATCTGACTCTCTTTGAACTGCATGGTTGGCATAAAACTTGTTAAAGATGGATGAGGAAGAACTTAAAATAGTGGAAGACGTATGACAGACAAATATATTAGCTAACCACTCCATAAAAAAAAACTGCATCGCGTATCATATGAAATACATTAATGAATTAATAAAAGTGTTGCATTGGCTTGTTTTGTTGCTTTAAGCTAATCTAAAACTGAAATAATCAAATAATATCAGCTAAAATTCAATCATTTAGTTGCCATTTACACTTATTTAATAAGTAGCTGTAAAATAAGCTGCATGATGTATAGTCAGGTGGTCTTAATTGCAAAATAAACCCTAATAAATTAATTTTTAACATAGAGATACAGCTCAGAACTGAAATAATCTCACTTGTTCCGTTCTTTATGTGATTTATAGCTGGGGCTACAAAACAAGAATAAATAAGCATGAGCAAATGTTTGATGAATGGCAATGCTATCATTCCTTCATTCGCTTTTGAGCCCTGGAGCTAGCAGTCAATCACGAAAAATAAATCTGCGGACTCTTTTAAAAGAAAGACGTCAGACCGCTTGGCAAAACACAAACCCACACTCTCATTCAGACAATGAAACCTGACCAG